GGGCAGCAGCCACCCAACTGTTGTAGAATGTTCCAGAAACTCTAAACTGTCAGGGACTGTCAGGCCCTTGGAACAGGTGCCCGCCCCACTCCCTGATTTGCATATGGCCCAGACATCTGAGAGAGACCACAAATGCCATTGTGTGGTTTAGGACCCACTACAGTGTTCAGGCCTGGCTGATGGACGAAGGTTGTGGAAGAAGCTTCCCCAAGGGAGCTGACCTGGGTGATGAGACGTTGAGCTCCAGCCAGGAAATCACTGTGGTGAAGAAGCAGTGTGCAGGGTGGGCTGCTGGTGCAGGAGGCTTGGGTGGCAGCAAGGGGGGCCGGGGGTGTTGCTGGGCTGGGGCTGGTGGTTCCCTGACCCCCAGCTCCCTGCTGCGTCAGGCATGGACATCATATAAAGCAAAGATCTATGGGGTGTCTGATCTGCTGTGGGGAGGGAGGTGACTGTTCACACTCCCCCAGGAAGGAACTGGGGGCAGAGCTGAGTCCTAAGCAGGACAGGGGGCGCTGGCTCGGGGTTCAGGGTGTTGCTGTAAGTAAAGCATCTTTATGGGTTCTGCCAGAGCCTCTGCCAAACTGAGTGGATTTGATAGCGGTTTCTAGCTACTACTCTGAAAAAGTTATACCAACTTAGACTTCTGAAATGCCTGTTGCACTGGGCATTTTCACTTGACAAAAATGATCTTTCTGTGAACCAGCTGTCTGGTACAGATTTCAAGACTCTCTTTTTATGTCTAATAGTGTGTAGCTTCTGATTATCCTCTGGCTTACGGTGGGTTCTTAAGCTACATGCAAGCACTCATGCATTTCTCACTTTTGTCCACTCCTGTACTGGGGGGCAGGGTCTGTGGTGGGGTCATGCTGGCTGCAGGAAGTTGGCCTGGCCATTTCTGTTCTGATCAGAGTGGTCTGAGGTGGGTGGTGATTTTGGTGGGGTGGAAGACCTGCCACATTGTACCAGTCAAGGGGATACCGTTCGTGTAGATTCAACAGGACTTGGTGACAGACTAAATGGGGCAGGGGCGGGAGCTGGTGGTGGGGGAGGGACTAAAGAGATGATGCCCAGGATCCTGGCTTTGGGTCACTGCATGACAACGGAGAAAGATCATGAGTTTGGTTTGGGGCACATAGGAGGCCTGGCAGGGATGATGCAAGAAGCTGTTCCAGGACCCAGCCAAGAGCAGGCATGAGGAAGTGCCTTCACTCATTTAGCAAGTATTTACTGAGCACTGTTAGCCAGGCACATGTGTTGGCACTTGGGAAACATCAGTAAGCGAAACAGACAAATTGCCTCCACCCTTCCAGAACTTATATAGTGACATGGGAGACAGACAACAAACCGAAAAACAGGATAAATATATTACATGTTTTGAAATGATCATCATCAAAGATTTAAATAAAAAAAAAAAAAAAAAGCAAAGAAAGAGACCAGGAATCTTGAGGGGGAGGGAGCTGTGATTTTAAATCTGGTGATGGCAGAGATCTGGGGAAGAGTGTTCCAGACAGAGAGAAGAGCCAGTGCAAAGGCCCTGAGGCAGGAGCATGCCTGACCCCTTTGAGCAGAGAGAAAGGAAGCCAGCGAGTCAGGAAGTCAGAATGAGCAAGGGGGGAAGGAGCCAAGATGAGAGCAGCGAGGTCAGGCGTTCAAGGACATTGCAAGGACAGGGTCTTCTAAGTGTGATGGGACCAGGGGAGGCACTCAGTCTTAGGTTTTATCAGAGTCGCTGTGGCAGCCTTGGGGAAGAGAGAGGCAGGGGGACCATTGAGGAGGCTGTTGTGATAATCCAGGGAGCAGTGATGGTGGCCTGAGCCATCTGCTGAGAAGTGGGCAGAGCCTGGGTGTGTTTGGAAGGTAGGGCTGATAGGGAGAGGAGACTGGAGTTGCTGTCATGGTGAAGAGAAAGGCTGCAGGTGACTGTCAGACCCCTTCCCTTGGCTCTGAGCGGAGGCTTGGCCCTCTCTCCTAGCATGTTCTAGAACCTGCTGGCTTAAGACAGTTGGGAGCCAGGTAATGCCCAGAGCTGGAATCCTGGACTGGCACAGCCCCAGAAAGTGTTTGCCTCCTACCAGCCACCTCTGTCCCTGTCAGGTCACGACCCACACTGACATCCTGCTCATGGCCCCAGCCATCGAGGCAGCCAGGCTCTTCCCCACTACCAAGCAACATACAGCCCTTGAGTTCAGTAGCTTGTCACCTGCTTCTCTTTCCTCAGCCCCTTCTGCCCCAAACCACAGCCTCCAGGGAATGATGACAACCCCTCAAATTCACAGACTGACCCCTGCCCCATCCCCACCACTATCAGGAAGAATGCGCCTTTGCCTGTTCACTGTTACTTTGAGGCCCAGTGAGTAAGGCCTAGGTAGGGGGTTGAATCTGCCACAGACATGAGAGGTGGACACTGGTCCTTTATGTCGGGGCAGTACGGTGAGGGTCCCGGCCCACCACTCCCTGACAGAGCCACCATGAGGCACGACGGAAGGGCTTCCTGCTCCGGGGATTGCCCTTCAGTCTCCCCGTGTTTCTGTAAACTCGGGGTTGTGAGACTGTTTTAAAACCTTCTGAGCAGAGCCCCGGCTGCTTGTCTTCAAGGATGAGATTTTGTTTCCTGTCAGCCTCTTACTCGGAAAAACAGACTCTGCCCCTGACTGAAGCACTTCCAGTATGGGGGATGTGTGTGTGGAAAGACTTCCTTATGAGATGCTCACAGGCTGCACAGAAAAGGTGAGGCAGGGAGGCGTGTGGGGCCAGAGTGAAGGTGGGGGCTTTGGGTCGCTGTCCGTGGGTGGGCTTGCTTATCGACTGCCTGCAGGTCTGATAGGGGGATTCCCTCTCTCTTTCATACAACTACTGATCAAGCCACCGAGTATTCATTGTGAAGTATTGTTCAAAGCTTTATCAGAAGAATGAGAGAATTTTTAGCTCTGCTGGTCCCCATCCTTCTCCCCCACCCGACGCACATACAGGGGCCAAAAGGAAACTGCTCTTGGGTAACTGTGATGTCAGAAGAGTCTTGAAGGGTGGGTATTCCTCTGACACCTTAAAAGCATCTAGTCCATCCCACATGGATAATGGACAGGGAGACAGGCCTTGAAATGAGGGGTGACCCACCCTGATTCGCAGCCAGATCAAGGCAAAGCACCCAGAGCTCTTCCCCAAGGAAAGACCTTTGTCACTTTGTCACACTTTAGCTTCTGGGAAGCAGGATGGGATGTCCTTTGTCACAGGACACCCACTGCATGTCCTCGGAGGTCAGAGCCAGTTGGTGGAGCGGAAGTCCCGTAGTATTCTTGAACTACAAGTTGGAAGGCACGCACAGGGATTTGCAGCCCATCCCTGGCTCAGGGCAGAATTGGAACCACAGGGCAGGCTGCTTCCCTCTGTCCCCACTCTGAGTCTGTCTCTCCCAGGAGTCTGTGAACAGTCACATTCTATGCTCACAGGGCAGCCCTGCCAGGCCTTGTGATGTGACTGGAAGCAGGGCTGGGCAGGGGGCAGACCAGTTGGCCCCAAGGCTGTCACACCCAGGGTGTTCCCACTGGTCTGAAGACAGGTCCAGGGAGGAAGGGCTGCAGCCTGGGAAGGGGTGCTGTGTTCCCTTCTCTCTTCTGGGCCCCTTTCAGAGAGACCCCCTGCCCTGGCCCCAGGGATCAGAGGGTCTTTAAAGGTTGAGTGATACCCTGCAGGGACAGGGAGATGGCAAGGCTTGACCAGAGAGGCTACTAGAAGCCGTGTTGGAAACAACCTTGCCTCTTTGTTGTATGCTAAAGAGCCGTCTGCAGCAGGAACCAATGTCTGTTTCCTGAGTTCCTGACTTCGGAATGAGTGAGCCAGCCAGTCCTTCTCTGTCCCCCCAGTCTGGCGCTTGGAATGTTGAGAGGGATGTGTCTGCGTCCTGAGAATGAGGCACAGCGAGGTGGAGGGGTGCACACACCCCCCCCAGGTCTTGGGGTCCCACCAACTTGGGCTTTGATCTCAACTCACCCACTCACTACCTGTGCGACCACAAGTAGGTCCATGTACTTCTGTGGGCCTCAGTTTCCCCACCTGGAAAAGGGGAGTTAGTAATTCTTTCTTTGCAGACTAGTTTTAAGATTTAAAAAAAAAATGTATGTACAACACTGTATTCATTCCCCAGCCTGCTGTAACAAGGACCACACACCAGCCGGCTTAAACAACAGACGTTTATTTTCTCACTGTTCTCACTGTTCTCACTGTTCTCACTGTTCTGGAGTCCCCAAGTCCAAAATCAAGGTGTCGGCAGGGCCGGTGTCATTGAGGCCTCTCTCGTTGAGGCCTCTCTCCGTGGCGTGCAGATGGCCGCCTTCTCCCTGTGTCCTCACGTGGTAGTACCTCTGTGCATGTCCGGGTCCTAATCTCCTGTTCCTAGAAGGACACCAGTCACGTTGGATCAGGACCCTGATGGACCTCATTAACCTAACTGTCTCTTTGAAGACCCTGTCTCCTCCACATTCTGAAGTACTGGGGGTTAGGACTTCAAGATATAAATTCTGGAGGGACACAGCTCAGCCCATAAAAAACCCCCCCGGTGCCTGACCCCTAAGGAGGTGTAGAGTAAAAGAGTCACTTTTGTGAATGTCTGTTTAAAATAAGAACAAAAAGGACAAAAATCAGTGGTTTATTTAACCCAGGTGGTGCGAGTGAGGGAGAGAGGGTGACCAGATCCGTTTAGTTGGTTAGCAGATTTTCACTGACCACCTACTACCACGGGCCACGCCCTGCTCTAGGCACTGGGGCCCATCAGTGCACATTCGTGGGTAGAACCTCCGTCCTTGCAAAGCTGACGTTCTCATGTAGGAGACGGACAGTGAGCAAAATCAATCAGTAAAGTGTGTCAGGTACCAGCCGGCAGTGTGGGGGACGCTGCGGGGCTACCTCTTGAGCGTGGCCCCCTCTCACCTCCTGGCTCCCCATCAGGCCCTGGGCTCTGGTCTCCCACTCACAGGAGGCCTCTCTCGTCTCTCCGTCCCCTGCAGCGTGGAGGGCGAGGGCCCCAGCAGTGAGACCGGTACATCGCTGGACAGCCCATCGGCCTACCACCAGGGCCCCCTGGCACCTGCTTCCAGCCTGAGCCCCGACCGCTACGAGCACACGTCGGTGGGAGCCTATGGGCTGTACTCGGGGCTGCCAGGACAGCAGCAGCGCACACGGAGGCCCAAACTACAGCACTCGACCTCCATCCTGCGCAAGCAGGCCGAGGAGGAGGCCATCAAGCGCTCGCGGTCACTCTCTGAGAGCTATGAGCTCTCCTCCGACCTGCAGGACAAGCAGGTAGGTGGGCCCGCCACGCGGGGACAGGCAGCCGGGGCAGCTCTGGCTGGAGATGGGTGGGTGCCCGGCCCTTTGCTGGGGAGGCCTGAAGCAGCAGGAGGCTCAGCTCTCCCACAGACTGAAGTCCAGTTAGGTACACCTGTGCTGGGAACATGGCCTTCACCTCGGCCCAGGCTCCCCTTCTTGCTCCGCCCGACCCGCGGAGGCGCCCTGAGTGAAGGGACTGGAGGGTCGGGACTTGGCCTCTGCCCCGCTCACCGTCCTCATGGCCATGCGCGCAGGTTAGGTGGCCAGTTGCTGAATGTCTGAGGTCCCAGGAGAGGCCTGAACCCTTAGGGAGTCCTCAGGAGGAGTCCCCGAGGAGGGCAGGAGCTCAGTTTACAACATAAATAGCACACACTCCGTAAAGAACACCAAGCCCATCCACAGCCAGCGGGTGAGGTTGCTTATTATATCCCCTTTGGTTTACAACTCTGTGTTCTCGTGGGAAACGGCCTCGCTGAAGGCTCGCTTCCTCCCCCAGGGGCCTTGGCCCAGACCCACCGCGGGGTTGGTACCTGTGTGCAGGACGAGGGGGATGCATGGCCTGCCCGCTTGGCCGGGCTCTGGGGAGGACTAAAGATAGCCTCTTGGGGTTGAGGGAGACGCCTGTCCTGGCTGGGTGGGGGGTGGGGGGCAGAGGGAATGAACGATCCCTGGGTGGGGGGCAAAGAGCTCTCACTCCAAGGGCACCTAGGAGGCCCTTGAATAAGAATTCTTGGGTGAAACTGAAGGCAAGTTTCAGGCTTCAAGAGAACCTCAGGCTGTGGCAAGCAGCTGTGCAAATGTGCAGGACCAGGCTTATCTGTCCAGCCTCCGCCAGCTCCTGGGCCATCTCCTCATGAGTCCTAGGTGGTCACATTGACCCCTTGCCTTGCCGCCCTCTCTTTACTCCCCAGTCTTCCTATTTGTCTTTCACCGAGCAGAGGTCTGGGCCTGGTGTGGCACCTGACTTCCAGGAGTGGTGCAGGTACTGCCCACATTGGGTCTTTCCTCCTCCCAAGCCCCCTGACAAAGTCCCCTACCAGCCCCCTCCTCTCCCTCTTCTCAGTGCTACCTCTCAGCCCTGACTCTCTTCATCCCTTCTGCAGATGGCCTCTTGTCGGGCTGTGGGAGCAGATGCCGCCCCCGCACCGTGGCACTTGGCTCCGTGGCCAGGCCCACAGCAGGGGAAGACCACGTGGTCTCTGTTCCATTTATCACTTACACCCAGATCCAAAGTGGATCAGAAGCAGTTGATAGTAAAAGACCTCCAGCAGAACCGTTGAAACAAGTGAGGATGTTGAAGGCCTCACAGAGGCCTATGGAGATAACCATCTGCTTCATATGGCCTTACTGTGGCGCAGCTGTTCATTTTGATCCCATGCACATTAACCAAATGCCCACCGTGTGCCAAACACTGTGCTCAGTGCTGGGGAGTCAGCAGTGGACAGGGTGAGGCCCCAGATCTTGAGCTGACACTTTGGTCCCGGAGATGGACCCCACAGGCAAGTTAGCAATAAAAACAGTTTAATTCCAGAGTATGATACAAACTCCAGAGATTATGAAATAGGCGAAAGAAGTGGAGTGATTCTGGCAGGTGACAGCATTGGATAAGGGCAGTGGTGAAGACCTCCTCAAGGTGGCATCTGAACTGAGTGTTTGAGGAAGGGGCCTTGCAGGAAGCAGTAACGCCAGGTACAAAGGCCCTGAGGCAGAACAAGGGTGGCAAGGAAGAGGTGGTGAAAAGGTGAAAGGGCCCCTGGGCTATTGAGCTTCCTGGCAATCAAAGCAAGAGTGGGAATAGGACAGATTACCTGGGAACTGCCAGGTGAAGGTAGGGTGCACAATTCCATGAGGAGTTAAAGTTGGGGAACGCAAAGTCCCGTTTAGTGAAGGGAGCGCTTTGGCTTCAGGGCCTCCGCACCTTCTGGTGGTTTCCTATCAATGACAGCAGGAGTCCTGAGTTATCCGAGAGGTGGTAGTTCTGCTTTGTGGAAGGGCGTTCCTCTCTGTTCCTTATCTCAACCCTGCGGTTGAGAAGTGTCCTTTTAAAGGGAGAGTGAGGGCTAGAGGTCAGCTCCGCATCACGTCACTTCCCAGAGCCTCTGTCCTCCGAGAAGGGGGATCCCAGAGCCCCTCTGCAGACTGGATGTTACGTGAGTATCGGGTGAGGGCGTTGTACAGCAGGTGAGCACATACAGATTGGATTCCCTCCCCTGCACCCCGATGAACTTTCAGGCTGGGCCTCGGGTCCGTTGTGGCCCAGAAGGAGGAATGACCACCGTGGGTCTGGGGGATGCATACAAGCTGGCCTGGGTCAGTTTATGTCCTCCAGGGAAGACCAGGAAGGAGGGACTGGGAGGGGATTTGATGACAACACAGAGCCAATTTCTGCCTTTCCAAAGTCCCTCTTCCCCCCCTCCCCGACTCTTCCCCCCCAGATCTGGGGAGCCGGTCTCAGACAAATAGTTCGCTGCTTGGTTTTCTAGGTCCAAAGTCAGCAGGAGAGAAAGAGCCCTGAGTGAGCCCTGGGCCTAAGCTGGTGGTCCTGGTGTCATGACTCTGCCCCCAAAGGTGACATGACGGGGGCCAGGCTACCGGCCTTGATGGGCAGAGGAGAGAGGGCTTCCCAGAGCTCAGCCTTGGGCCCTTTATCGGCCCCGTCGGCTTTCAGAGCTCCACTCAAAACCCCCAAAAAACAAAGTCTGCTTACAGATGTGGAAGTGAGGTCATCTCTTTGGATGTTGTTCAGTAACTTCAGGGCAAGAGAAAAAACAGACCCACCCTGGCTGACTCTGGGCCCAGAAAAGTTGTTTTGATCCACACACACCGCCCCCCCAACACACACACACACTACCCGCTCCTCCTATGAAGGGAGCCGCTCTGCCGAGCCTTCTGCTCCCTCTCCTGCGGACCCAGAGAGCTGGGATCCCTGACGTGGGCGGCCTCCCAGAGCCGGGATGTGAGGGGACCGGCACCTGCACTGGGGTATGTGAGGCTCCAAGCCCTCTGTTCCCAGCCCACCCCACAGCGGCTCTGAGTGACCCTCTTCCCCCAACTCGGGCCTTGGCTTGGATTTGCTCGGCATCTGTTTGGTTTTATTTCAGTTAAGTATGTGTGTCTGTCCATTCTCCCTGACAGACTCTTTGCTTCTGGAGGGCAGGGACCTTATCTCTCTGTGCCACCAGCTTTCATGTGATGCCCGGCACGGCATAGGCCGGCGGGATCTAGACAAGCAGGGTGTGGTGCTTTGCCTCCCTGGCGCAAGCGTGCCTTCCTCCTGAGGGCCTTAGGCCTCTCCTGGCCCCACATCAGGCGCCCCCTCTGCCCAACACCCCAAGAGCCCTGGCTTAGCAGAGAAGCCAGTTCCTTATCTTGGATTTTCTTTGATTCTTACAGGGTAGGCTCCCACTTTATGGGCATGTTTTCACGCAGGAGCGAGGCATGGTTAGCAGCCCTTGGGATTGTCCTTGATCACCAAGGGCTGGCGTGAGCCTCAGGGCTTTGGGAGGCTGGTGTGTCACACAGGGGAGCCCCAGACAGTGCCACCTACCTGCAGCCCCGCCCCATCTCTGTACCTTATCACGGAGAGGGGCCATCAGGACCTGGGGTGCCAGAATGAGTGCTCGTTCTGGAGTCTGGAGGCCTCTCTGAGCTGGGTGTCTTCTCTGGGCCTCAGTTTCCCCATCTGTCCAGTGAGGGGAGTTGGGGACCCCACAAACTGTAAAGACCTTCCAGGAATGCAGCTGCAGGTCTAGCCCCAGCTGTCCCTGTGTTTGGCACGTGCTAAGCACTTGTGTCTGTCTCATCAGGTGCTCACCATGGTCCTACGAGGTGGGGCTGAGTACCGTCCCCACTTTACAGATGAGCAAACAGGAAGTGTGCGGCCCCAAGCCTTGCTCAGAGTAGCACAGCTAACGAGGGGCAGGGCCAGGCTTAGAGCCCGGGCATGTGGCCTGAAAGCCTGCTCCCCCACTAAGGTGATTCTCTCAGGCCTCCCTGAAACTCAGTGACACCCTTCCAGCTGGTAAGAGCACATGGTTGCTGCTGTAAAGAGGAAGTGAGACCAAAAGCCTGCAGCCAAGGCTTGGCATCCAGGATCTCACTGAACTCTTTGGCTGGTCTCTTAACCTGCTCGTGCCTCAGGTTCCTCCTCCTTGGAGGGGCTGCCTGCACCTCTTCCAGCATCTCCCAAGTTTCATTAAACCACAGGCCACAAGATACACTGGGGCCAAAGGTTTTTGTGGTTAAAGAAATTTGGGAACGCGCCACCTTTTAAAGGTTCTGGGAAGTCCTGCAGGGAACATCCTTGCTTTCACTTCAGCATGGGGCTTCTCCATCTTAAGTTGACCCGGGGAACCCCTGTTTTGCACAACCTCACAGGCAGGCCTCCGCGGTTGCCATAACCAACTTTGGGATATGCCGAGGCTTTTCCGGATGGTGTCGCCGCGGGGCTGGGCAGTGGGCACGACCGTGGGTGGACATGGCGCTGCTCCAGCACACGCGGTTGTGCTCACTAATGTCCTGTTCTTCCCCCCCCCAACCCCCGACCAGGTGGAGATGCTAGAACGCAAGTATGGGGGCCGCCTCGTGACCCGCCATGCGGCCCGCACCATCCAGACGGCCTTCCGTCAGTACCAGATGAACAAGAACTTCGAGCGCCTGCGTAGCTCCATGTCGGAGAACCGCATGTCGCGCCGCATCGTTCTGTCCAACATGAGGATGCAGTTCTCCTTCGAGGGCCCGGAGAAGGTGCACAGCTCCTACTTCGAGGGGAAGCAGGTCTCGGTGACTGATGATGGCTCTCAGCTGGGGGCCCTGGTGCCACCCGAGTGTGGCGACCTTGGCGAGCCACCCACCCTCAAGTCTCCCGCCCCGTCCAGCGACTTCGCGGACGCCATCACGGAGCTGGAGGACGCCTTCTCGCGGCAGGTGAAGTCACTGGCTGAGTCCATCGATGACGCCCTCAACTGCCGCAGCCTGCACGCCGAGGAGGCGCCGGCCCCCGAGGCGGGGCGGGCCCGGGACCCCGAGCCCAAGCCAGCCCTGCACGGCGTGGACCACCACAAGCTGGACGAGATGACGGCCTCGTACAGTGACGTCACCCTGTACATTGATGAGGAGGAGCTGTCACCGCCCCTGCCCCTGTCGCAGGCGGCGCACCGGCCGCCCAGCACGGAGTCGGACCTGCGGCTGCGGGCCGGGGGGGCCGCGCAGGACTACTGGGCACTGGCTCACAAGGACGACAAGGGGGACACGGACACAAGCTGCCGGAGCACACCGTCGCTGGAGCGGCAGGAGCAGCGGCTGCGGGTGGAGCACCTCCCGCTGCTCACCATTGAGCCGCCCAGTGACAGCTCCGTGGACCTCAGTGACCGCTCGGACCGTGGCTCGCTCAAGAGGCAGAGCGCCTATGAACGCAGCCTGGGCGGGCCGCAGGGCAGTCCCAAGCACGGCCCCCTGGCCGGCCCCCCCAAGAGCCTTCCCCGGGAGGAGCCAGAGCTGCGGCCCCGGGCCCCCCGGCCTCTGGACAGCCACCTGGCCATCAATGGCTCGGCCAACAGGCAGAGCAAGTCGGAGTCCGACTACTCGGATGGGGACAACGACAGCATCAACAGCACATCCAACTCCAACGACACCATCAACTGCAGCTCCGAGTCGTCGTCCCGCGACAGCCTGCGGGAGCAGACACTCAGCAAGCAGACCTACCACAAGGAGACCCGCAACAGCTGGGACTCACCCGCCTTCAGCAACGATGTCATCCGCAAGAGGCACTACCGCATTGGCCTCAATCTCTTCAACAAGTGAGTGCCTGCCAGCCCCGCAGGACTGAGTGGGGCGGGCCTTCCTCTCACGCCCCGGGGCCTTTGCACACACCGAGGGCTTAAAAGAGCATGTGTGAGGGAGTGACACTGCGCTAACGGGGTCTGTGGCAGCACCTGGCACGGCGCTGCTGTCGTAGAGGAGACTGGAGCCTGGTGAGTGCAGGGCCCGGCCCCTCCCAAGGGCCCTGTTGTGGGGATTGCAGAGGCTCACAGCTGAGCAGCAGCCAAACGAGGGGTGTCTCTGGGACAAAGCAACACGGGGACAGGAGTTCAGGGCCCTGTCGGCGCCTAGAGCAGCACCCAGCACGGAGTAGCTTCTCAGGAAATGTGAATGTGAAGGCTGACGGCGCTGTGATGGGGTCCGTGTGTGAGCAAGATCTCCCAGGGCAGGTGCGGGCTCGGCTCGGAGGCACGCGTCGGGGGAAGCAGGACACAGATAAGCCTGGTGCTAACAGATGTCTCAGCAAGGTCCTTTGGGAGACGTGTGAATTGGGTCTGTTGAGTGGCCGCTCCCCACCAGGAGTTCTAGAAAGATGCTGTGGGGGCAGTCCTGAGAGCAGATTTAAGGAGGGAGACGGGTATTTAAAGCAGGCTATTCTTAGCACGGCTGAAAATAGCAAGCGGAAGGGGAGGAGGCCGCACACTCCCTTGGAAGGGACGCTGCCGGGCTCTGGTTATTAAACCTCCCATATTTCACATCGTTTCCATCCATGGGGCCTCTGGGATTGGGGGTCATTGGACGTCAGCCTGGTGCTGACTCCTCCAAGGTTGGGGACACGGCCAGACTGCCTGGTGGTGACCGACACACATCCGCTGCACTTCCCCCGCTCTCTGCTTCCTCTTCGAGATGGAGGGAGACTTGGGGGCACTTTTGAACCATCCCTGCTACAAATGGGAGTGCTGTGTTATCTCGGGGACTCAGGCCTGTCCTGGAGGGAGGCTGTAGGGAACAGGACATTTACATGTGAGCAGCCAGGGAGCTCTGGGTCACTGCCTCACTCAGCTGAGAACTACGAGTCTCAAGCACCCGGGTGCTCTCTCCCGAGACTCCCATCAGCCCGTGGTTCACGGCACGTAGGGATAGCCTCACCGCTGCACGAGCTGTGGCCAGAGCAGCACGTGAGCAGGAAGGGCCGTATTCTACTGAGCCCATCCTGAGCTCTGTGCCAGAAGTCTGCTCCCACCTGCTTCTGGGCACAGCCAGCTCCCGAGTCGTCTTAGACCCAGGCCAGGGCCCTCCTGGGCAGGGGGCCGAACTAACTGGGGGGCTCCCTTAGTGCCCAAGCCCACCGCATGCCTGTCAGCTTCCAGGGACATCCTGAAGTGGGGGTCCCAGCTGGGTCGACAGGTGGAGGCCAGAAAAAACAGTCCCTCCACCAGCCAGTTGTGGTCTATGTAGATTCTCTCTCAGCTCTGTTTTTAGTTATGTGCGCGGTACAGGAATACATTCCCCGTGGAAAATGAAAGCCTTCCAGTTAGGATAACATTCCCTCTGGTTCTTGTCATTTTGGAGTCTCTCCTCCCAGATCTTTATTCCGTGCATGTGTGTGCTCTTCGGAACTGCAGACAGCCGTGGTTCAGAGCACAGCTCCAGGGCCAGGCTGCCCGGGCTCACAGCCTGGCCTTTCGTCTGTACGGTGGGGCAGGGCCCAACAGTGTCCACCTTGCACGGTGTGAGTTGGAAGGAAGCAGGTATGTGAAGTGCTTGGAGCAGCGCCCGGCACCGAGTAAGTCCTCTCCCAAGTGTGAGCTGCTGCTGGGGCCTTGCTGGCGTTACCTGGGGCCTGGGGTTGTGGACATCATCTCACTGAGATCCCACCTCACAGCCTCCCCCACCCCACCCCCTGTCAGTGTGCCCGGGCCACTCCCTCCCGCTCCCGCCTGCTGCTGTGCAGTGGTCCCTGGTGTGGCTGTCCATATTACTGACCTGGCCACTTGCTTCCACTTCCCTGTAATTACCAACCGTAGATGACAAGGAGTGTGGATCTATTCTTTACATACACTCCCAAGAGAGTCTGTAGGGAAGCTAGCTAAAAGCGGAATTAGGTAGGCACGTTTTTCACTGGAAACTTACTTTTTAAAAGGGGGCTCTACCCATTTGCTCTCTTCTGCCTGTGGATCTGAGAGGTCCTCTTTCTCCCATATGCTTGGCGACACTCAGTGTTCTCTCCCCACCCCCAGTCAAAGGGTAGACATAGTTGTCTCTTGGTCATTTTAGTTTGCATTTCCCAGCTTCTTCTTCTTCTTCTTTTTTTTTTAAGATTTTATTTATTTGACAGAGAGAGACACAGCAAGAGAGGGAACACAAGCAGGGGGAGTGGGAGAGGGAGAAGCAGGCTTCCCTCTGAGCAGGGAGCCCGATGATGCGATGCGGGGCTCGATCCCAACCTGAGCTGAAGGCAGACGCTTAACGACTGAGCCACCCAGGCCCCCCCCTTTTTTTTAAGTAATCTCTACACCCAACATGGGGTTTGTACTCCCAACCTTGAAATCAAGAGTCGCATGCTCCTCCAATTGAGCCAGCCAGGCGCCCCCAGTTCATATTCTTTGCTCATTTTTTCTCTCAGGTTATTTGTCATGTTGATTTACTAGTAGTTCTTTATTTGTCGGGGATACTGATACTTTATAATTATAAACACTTTCTTTCTGTCTGTCACTTGTTTTTAAAATTTTTTTCTTTTGAGATATAATTCACATACTGTAAAATTTACCCTTATAAAGTGTACAGTTCAGTGGTTCTCAGATATTTATGTCTTCTAACTTTGTGCTCTTTCATCTAACACAAGTTTTTTAGTTTTTTGTGTTTTTAAAATTGAGATAATTGCTATCTAACATCAGTTTCAGATGTACAAGGTAATGATTCAATTTTTATGTATATTGCAAAATGATGACAAGAAGTCGTTACCATCCCTCACCACATATAGTTAGAATTTTTTTTTTCCTTGTGATGAGAACTTTTAAGATTTACTGTCTTGGCAACTTTCAGGTATACAATCCAGTATTATTAAGCACAGTCACCATGGCTGTACAGGAAGATTTTAATTAGCTGAATTCATATTTTCTTGTTTTGTTTCTTTGGCTTTTCATGTTTTTTATTTTAAAAGGAGCTCTGCCCATGGGGACTCCTGGGTGGCTCAGTCCGTTAGGTGTCCGACTCTTGATCTCAACTCAGGTCACAATCTCAGGGTCGTGAGTTCAAGCCCTGCATTGGGCTCCACGCTGGGCATGGAGCCTACTTAATAATAAAAATAGTAATAATTATAAGGGGCCCTGCCCCAAATCATCAATACAGTGATAATAATAATAATTAAAAGGGACTCTGCCCCAAATCATAAGTATAGTTTTAAAAATATTTTCTTCAGTGTATTTGCATGCCCTTTAGGACTTCAAGCTGAAATTTGTTTTGGAGAACCACACAAGATGAGGGGTGCAACTTTTTTTTTTTAAAGATTTTACTTATTTGTCAGAGAGAGAGTGCACAAGCAGGGGGAGCGGCAGGCAGAGGGAGAAGCAGGCTCCCCGCTGAGCAAGGAGCCCAACACGGGACTCGATCCTAGAACGCAGACACCCAACCATCTGAGCCACCCAGGCATACCCCAACTTTTATTATTCTGTAAAGATTAGCCAGTTGTTTCCAAACTATTTATTCAACAGTCCTTTCTTCATTGGCTTGAAGTTCCATCTAATTCCTACATGAATGGGACCTTTTCATTCATTCAGCAGCTGTTTATTGAGCGCCTGCAACACACCAGGCAGTGTTTTAGGGGCCCGGGACAGATCAGGGAACAGAACGAAGATGCTTGCAAAGCTCCACATTAATGGTTACAGGACCTGTTCGTTCCTCCACGAGCATCAGACTTGGGTTTCACATGTTTTCTTAGGAGGGCAAAACCCCCTCTTTTGTTCTTTTTAAAAATCGTCTCGGCTGTTTTGGGTGGGTATTCTTCCATGTGAATTTTGGAATCTGTTTAGTAAGACCCATGAGCAACCCCAGCCGACTTTTTGCCGGTGTTGCCTTCAGCTCAGAGATCACTTGGGGGAACCTGTGTTTTTACCGCGTTGCGGTCCAGCCACAGGTGGCTGCTGAAGTTAAAGTTCACTGAAACTTAACACGAATCCAGTGCCTCTGGCGCACTAGCCACGGCCAGGTGCTCGCTGGCCACACATGGCCGCCATGCCTGACAGCGCCGATCTAGCGCAGTTCGGTCGCCACAGATTGTGCTCACGGACAGCGCTGGTCTAGAGCACTGAGGGACAGTCAGCAGCAAGTCTGGCTCCACTCGGGGTGTGGGGCAGAGTGGGGTGGCTGGCCCCCAGTGGCAGGTGCCAACGGACTCCATGTGAAATTGCCCCCTGCCCACCAGGGAGGCTCCGGGGCTGGGAGAATGCACCAGGCTTCCTCCCGGCTCAGCCCTCACCACCTCCCTCCCCAGCCTCCCACCCCGGCCCACAACCCCCCGCCCACGGCCCACAACCCCCGCCCCGCGACTGCCTCCCGGGCCTGCCCGGCCTTCCAGATAGCTGCCAGTTCCCACCTCCTTCCAGTAGTAGGCTTTCCCGACAGAGAACAGTCAGAGATAATGGCAGTGGCTGATAGTTCCATGTGCTTAGCCTGTGCCAGACACTGTTCCACACGCTGTCTTGCTCTGAGTCCCGTTCTCCTGGGGAATAGAGCCTCTTACTAACCCCATTGTGCAGACAAGTAGACTGAGGTCCCAAGCGGGTCACCTGCCTGAGGTCACACAGCCAGCAGGGTGGGCAGGCTAGAACTCACACCGCCCCACCGGCTCCAGTGTGGGAACGGCCACTACGCGTGTAGCCGCATTTACCCCCATCAGCTCACTGAGCCATGGGGGTAAGTGGAGAGCTCAGGAGGCAAAGCCACACCACCCACGGGAGGCCACACGGCCCTGGAGCGGTGGTCCTTGGGCCACCACAGCGTCAGGAGCCTGGGTCAGTGCCCCCACAGCCCTGATGGG